TGATAGTAGTCTGTATTTCTGTGAGATCAGTGGTCATAGCCCCTTTATCATTTTTTATTATGTGTATTTGATTCTTCTCTCTTTTTTACTAGTCTGGCTAAGGGTCTATTCATTTTGTTAACCTTTTCAAAAAACCATCTCCTGGATTCATTGATTTTTTGAAAGTTTTTTATGTGCATGTCTTTATCTCTTTCAGTTCTGCTCTGATCTTAGTTATTTCTTGTCTTCTGCTAGATTTTTAATTTGTTTGCTCTTGCTTCTCTAGTTATTTTCATTGTGATGTTAGGGTATCAATTTTAGATCTTTCCCACTTTCTCATCTGGGCATTTACTGTTATAAATTTCCCTCTTAACACTGCTTTAGCTGTGTCCCAGAGATTCTGACACATTGTGTCTTTGTTCTCATTGATTTCAAAGAACTTATTTCTTTCTGCCTTAATTTTATTATTTACCCAGTAATCATACAGGAGTAAGCATGTTTTACTTCCAGTTATGTGGTCAATTTTAGAATAAGTGCAACGTGGTGCTGAGAAGAATGTATATTCTGTTGATTTGGGCTGGGGAATTCTACAGATGTCTATTAGATATGCTTGCTCGAGAGCTGAGTTCAAGTCCTACATATTCTTGTTAATTATCTGTCTTATTGATATGTCTAATATTGGCAGTGGGGTGTTAAAGTCTCCCACTATGATTGTGTGGGAGTCTATGTCTCTTTGTAGGTCTCTAAGAATTTGCTTTATGAATCTGGGTGTCCCTGTATTGGATGCATATATATTAAAGATAGTTAGCTCTTCTCGTTGCATTGGTCTCTTAACCATTATATAATGCCCTTCTTTGTCTTTTTTGATGTTTGTTTATTTAAAGTCTTTTTACCAGAGACTAGGATTGCAACCCTTGCTTTTCTTTTGCTTTCCATTTGCTTGATAAATATTCCTCTATTCCTTTATTTTGAGCCTATGTGTGTCTTTGCATGTGAAATGGATCTCCTGAATACAGCACATCTGTGGATCTTGACTCTTTATCCAGTTTGCCAGTCTGCGTCTTTTAATTGGGGCATTTAGTCCATTTACATTTAAGGTTAATATTGTTATGTGTGAATTTGATCCTGTCATTATGATGCTAGCTGGTAATTTTGCCCATTAGTTAACACAGTTTCTTCAGAGCAATGAAGGTTTTTGCATTTTGGTATGTTTTTGCAGTGGCTGGTAATGGTTTTTCCATTGCATATTTAGTGCTTCCTTCAGGAGGTCTTTAAGGCAGGCCTGGCGGTGACAAAATCTCTCAGCATTTGCTTGTCTGTAAAGGAGTTTATTTATCCTTCACTTATGAAGCTTAGTTTGGCTGAATATAAAATTCTGGGTTGAAAATTCTTTTCTTTAAGAATGTTGAATATTGGTCCCCACTCTCTTCTGGCTAGTAGGGTTTCTGCAGCGAGATCCACTGTGAGTCTGATGGGTTTTCCTTTGTGGGTGCCCCAACCTTTCTCTCTGGCTGCTCTTAACATTTTTTCTTTCATTTCAAAACCTTGGTGAATGTGACAATTATGTGTCTTGGGGTTGCTCTTCTCAACAAGTATCTTCGTGGTGTTCTCTGTATGTCCTGAATTTGAATGTTGGCCTGTCTTGCTAGGTTGGGGAAGTTCTCCTGGATAATATCCTGAAGAGTGTTTTCCAGCTTGCTTCCATTCTCCCTGTCACTTTCAGGTACACTAATTATGTGGGTTTGGTCTTTTCACATAGTCCCATATTTCTTGGAGGGTTTATTAGTTCCTTTTCATTCTTTTTTCTATAATTTTGTCTTCACACTTTATTTCATTAAGTTGATCTTCAATCTCTGATATCCTTTCTTCCACTTGATCAGTTCAGCTCTTGAGACTTATGTATGCTTCACAAAGTTCTCGTGCTGTGTTTTTCAGCTCCATCAGGTCACTTATGTTCTTCTCTAAACTGGTTATTCTAGTTAGCAGTTCCTGCAACCTTTTATCAAGGTCTTCACTTCCTTGCATTGGATTAGAATGGTTAAAACATGCTGCTTTAGCTCAGAGAAGTTTACTATTACCCACTTTCTGAAGCCTACTTCTGTCAATTCATCAAACTCATTCTCTGTCCAGTTTTGTTCCCTTGCTGGTGAGGAGTCATGATCCCTTGGAAAAGAAGAGGAATTCTGGCTTTTGGAATTTTCAGCCTTTTGGCACTGGTTTTTTTTTTTTGTTGTTGTTTGTTTGTTTGTTTTTCTATCTTCGTGGATTTATCTACCTTGGGTCTTTGATGCTGGTGACCTTCTGACAGGGTTTTTGTGTGGGCATCCTTTTTGTTTATCTTGATGCTATTCCTTTCTGTTCATTAGTTTTCCTTCTAACAGTCAGGTCCCTCTTCTGCAGGTCTGCTGGAGTTTGCTAGAGGTCCACTCCAGACCCTGTTTGCCTGAGTAGTACCAGCAGAGGCTGCAGAACAGCAAAGATTGCTGCCTTTTCCTTCCTCTGGAAGCTTTGTTCCAGAGGGGTAGCTGCCAGATGCCAGTTGGAGCTCTCTTGTATGAGATGTCTGTCAACCCTTGCTGGGAGATGTCTCCCAGTCAGGAAGGGGTCAGGGACCCACTTGAGGAGGCAGTCTGTCCCTTAGCAGGGTTCAAGCCCACCCTCCCTCTGCTCACCCTCCGTGGGCTACACCCACTGTCTAACCAGTCCCAATGAGATGAACTGCATACCTCAGTTGGAAATGTAGAAATCACCTGCCTTCTGCATTTGTCTCACTGGGAGCTACAGACCAGAGCTGTTCCTATTCAACCATCTTGTCTTTCTTCAATATGGATAACTTTTTAAGAACTTTAGATACTAATCAGAAAAGAATTGTCCTGTTTTTCATGAAATATAAACCAGATTTATAAATCTCAAATTAAACTCAGAATCAGTTATCTTCATCAATTCGTCTGTACCAACAAGTCTTAACAAAGCTTAAACAATCTGAAAAAACTGATACATATTTAAGTTAAGATATTTACCCCCTAATATTGTGAAGCCTATATTTTTAAGTTACAATGTTTATCCACAGAGACATTACATATTTTTCATTAGGAATCATGTTAGTAATACTTTTGGGAGTTTAAGTCATTTATAGGATACTTCAGAGCAATCAAAAACAAACTGCTAGTATTACTTTACTCTATCAGAAGCTATACAAATTTTTCTTAGTTTATGTGATGCAATAATATTTGTAATGTACATAGTTATTTCTACTTGAATTCGAAATACAGCAACAATAGAAAATCAGATATGTGGTGGAAATCCCAACTTAAAGCTTTATAAAACAGAAGAACTTTGTGATCACTGGCAACTGAAAAAAGAAAAACAACTTTGTGTTTAGTTTTATGAAAATGTATTTTCAAATTAACAAGTAGTTAAGTTTGATGGAATGTTTTAATATGATCTAAAATTTAAACATTCAGATGGGAAGCCCAGATTAAAGGGGAAAAAAAGACAGTGAAAATTCCAGGAAAAGTGTCCCAAGAGATATGTGTTCTACATGATGACTTGTCTGGAGTTCACTTTGGAAACGCTCTCTCTCCGGATGCTCCCACACTCCAACATGGGACCTATGCCAGCTGCACACTACATTCACCCAAAGAGGAGGATCTTGTCTTTCCCAAATCCAAACCCTGCATCAGAAGGGAAAAGGAGCTTACAGCTACATAGGGGACATCTCATAAACTGTTTCACAGTATTTAAAATATGTTTTAAATATATGGATTCCCATATTTGTACGTTTGTGTAGTCAGGTGTTACTGCTTGAAGTAACACCTCAAGCAGGTGTTACTTCCCTCCATAAGGTTACCCAGACAAGGGAGCTCAAGTGCAGACCAACGTGCACACTGCTAGGGCTGTGGGACCTGAAGCAAGGGGCACCTTGTTCTACTTCAAATAAGGCACCATATGCCCTAGTAGCAGTCTCCCATCCTATATACTCTGCTCTATCCTTTTCAATTCCTGCCATGCACCCAAAGAGAAGAGGCAACATTGCACATTTCCTGTGTCAATTACAGATGCTTATTTCCCCTGCACTCCCTCCTGCCAAAAATAAACAAATGAGTTAATAACCCAACAACTATGAGATTTAGAGAAATTGGTACATTTTTATCCTTAAAAATGGTTAAAATAATTTTTCTATTTTTATTGAACATAAATTTTATGTTCAGTATATTTTACCACAATTTTTTTAAAAAAGCTTAAAGACCCCACAGGTGGGAAATATCTCCTAAGCCACACACACATGCACAAATATAACTATAAAGAATTAACATTTTATCAAAATAAGCTGACATTTGTAAAGCACTTTGTGCCTTACCTGGCATGGAGCAAGCACCATCTAAGTATTAAATAAAAATTAATAACACCCAGAGAGACTGAAACAACAAACTACGTGATATCAGAAGATATTCTGAATACTAACAATCAAAAGACTGTATCTGAAATATACAAAAGAAAAGTCACTAAGAAAAGGCCAGCAAACCTGAACAGGCGCTTCATAACAGAAAACTCCAGTGGCCGACCAACAGATGAACTCAGCCTCAAGCAACCCCCACCCCCAGCCTCCCAAAGTGCTGAGCCACCATGACTGGCCATCCAATACGCAAATGAAAAGCTACTCAACCTCCTCAGTATTCAGGGAAATGCAAATTAAAATCAGCGCTCATCTACCTGACACAGTCAACCCCACACTGCTGGTGGGAAAGAGTTATTTAGTGAAATTAAAGGCATCTCTTGGCTTAGCAATTCAACTCAATGTTCTGCAGAGGAACGTGTGCACATGTACACAACACTACTCCAAGTATTACGTGGAATGACCAAAATCAGAAACGGTAAAGATGACTATCAACAAGACTGTATTACTTGAGGTATATTAATACAACGGAACACCATATAGCATTAAAAATGAATGAACTCCGGGACCCAACAAGGATAGCTCACACAATGCTGAGTGACAAAAATGACACAAAAGCACATATACAGGACGATTCCATTTACCTAACACTCAAAGGCAAACACCCATGTTGAATAAAAATGCATACAAATACGGCAAAATTCAAACGAAAACCGGGAAGAGACTGAAAAGGAAGATGACCTGGAACGTGCTCCGATCTCAGCTGCACATCAAATTTCCCTGGGTGAGGTGGGCGGAGCTTGGACTCTACCACTATCTAGGCCACACCCCCAGGCTTTCACTGTCAGGATGCTGACCTTTGGCAGCAGAGTTTTCAATGCTCTCCAGTTGTTTCTAAAGCAGACAAATTTAGGACCGTGCTTGAAGGTGAAAGGGAAGACTGTGATGGAAAGGGGCAAATACAGGGCCCTTGGGGTGCTGGCAATAGTTTTCCTTGACCCAGATGGGAGTTTCACAGGCGTTTTACATATACTTACGCACATCAGCTCTTCCCTTTCTCCACAGCATACACGTAGGTGTTCCAGGGCCCACAGGTGATGGCCTTTACTTGGAGTTGCTTATCTACGAAGTATTCTACTCGGCGGGACGGATCCCAGCTGCTGGTGTCTTTGTGGCCCAGCTGTCCATATTTACCCCAGCCCCAGGTGTACAGGTCCTGTGTCACCACAGCCGTGTGCCTGGATCCACAGCTGGCCTTGATTGCTTCTGGGCCCAGGGGGAGATCCAGTAGAGCTGGGAAGGGCTGGACAGCTATGAAGGGCGCAGGGGCTCCATCCTCAGCCCCCGCCATTCTCTTCACCTGGGAGCCATCTGCATTCAGTCCTGTGGCTTCCCTTGCAACTGTCTCCCCATCCTCTGCCAGGCTCCTGGTGGGCAGGGCGAGCTGCCCTGATTCATTCCAGCCCCAGATATAGATATCCCCAGTCTCACGCACACAGACAGAATGCCAGCCCCACGCGGCCACCTGAGCCATGGCTAGGCCCTGCAACGCCTCCAAGGGCCTTGGCTCCAGCTCTGCCTCCAGGGTCCCATGGCCCAGCTGTCCATGCCTGCCCGCCACAGGAGAACACCTGGCCCCCCGCGTCCAGCAGCAATGCGTGCTCCGCGCCCAGCTCCAGCTGGCGCACCCGCAGCTCCGGAGCCAGAGGCCGGCAGAAGGGCGGCTGCAGGCTCACATAGGCACCGGCGCGGGGCAGCAGGGGCAGCCTCCCAGCCTGGGCCTCACTGCCGGGATCGTCTTCCCTTTCGGCCTCCAGCACCACATTCTGGGCCCACAAGGGATCCCCGCGCAGGGCCGAGCCGGCGCCCAGGCCTGGAGTAACGCCCCCGATCCGGGCCCGGCGCGCAGCACCACGAGGAGCCCCTCCGGGGCCCACGCGTCCCTGCAGCCTCCCGCTGCGCCGCTCGCTGAGCCCTACAGCTCGAGGCGGCCTCCACTGGTCACGAAGGCGGTGAAGCTCCAGCTCGCGCTCACATGGCGGATGTCGACGCCTGCCTGCAGTGGCTCGAGACTGTGCACCTGGCGCCCGCCTCCGGAGCCCGGCGCCTGCCCTAAAGCCTCAGAAACCCAAGCCGAACCAGGCTCCCGGCGGCTCCTTTGCCATGTCCCGGCAGCGCCTTCTGCCGGCCGCACCTGGTTGCAGCGGGCCACCTAGTGGCACGCTGGCTAGTCTCTGGCCTTCCAGGGACTGGAGCTGCCTTATCTTATCTGGTTACTTATTCGTCAAGCAAGCATTTACTGAGCGATCCTCCTCCCGGTCAGTGAGGACAGTTGTCTGCTCCCAAGGAGCTAACCCTTAAATGGGGAAAGAAACGCAATCTGGTGGTTCCAACAGCAACGCAACTTCAAGCAGGTTCAGCTGGAACAGGCTTTTTCCTACCATTATTATTTATATAATAGAGACTGGGGTCTCGGTATTTGTCCAGGTTGGTCTCGAACTCCTGGGCTCGAGTGATCCACCCGCCTCGGCTTCCCAAAGTGTTGAGATTACAGGCGTGAGACGCATCGCCCGGGCTGAAGCGCCATTGCACAGGCCTTTTCAGGCCTCTGAAGTCAGATCTTGGGTCTCTCCTGAGACCCCAGCTCCTGGGCTCCTAAACCCCCCTTCCCCAACCCAAGGGGGCTTCTGACCTTGATCTTGACTCTATGCCCTCTACCCTCTCCGGCAGGTCCTTCCAGTGGGCAGCCTTGGAGGAAACGCCGAGGCGCAGAGCGGCCGCCTAGGAACAGCCGCCCGCCCAGCCGGCGGAGAAAAGGTTGGAAGAGCCACGCGGAGAAAATGTTGGAAGAGCGCGCGGGGCGAGGCGGCCAATCGGCGGCAAGGGCAGTGACGTCGCAGACCGGGGTGCGGCGGCCGCAGCCCTGTTCACCTTCCCACCGGGACCTCTCCGGGCCCAAGGTCCCTAGGTCTAGGCCGGGGCGCCGCCACCAGGTCTGTGAAATGGGCTGAAACCTCCGGCGGGCGTTGCCAAGGCAGAAGTTGGACCAGATGGTCCGGCCCCTGCAGGCACCCGCGGGGCATGGAGCTCAGATTAGAACCACGAGAGGACGCGCATTAAGACCCTAGCTAAAGGGCTGGCGAGGAGTGACCCCCAAGGCAGACGGACCCCGCCACCAACCTCCTAAATTGGTACATTTAGAAAGGATATTTTCAGTCTCTGTCCTCACCTGTGAATGCAGAAAACTACCACCAAAACCGATAATCACAGAGGCAAGAAAGAGAAAGAAGAAAGGAAAGAAAAAGAAAAGGAAGGAAGGAAGGGAGAGACAGAGAGAGAGAAAGAGAGAGAGAGAGAGAGAGAGAAAGGAAGGGAAGGAGGGAGGGTTTTTAGGTACTCAGTGAGTTGAACCAGGAACGCCTCTATGGTGCTGTGTTTTGAGGAGCCTGAAATGCCGGGAAACCCACCCAAACATCTTCCCCACTGCCTTGCTAAAGATCATTAAGAGTTAAGACATGCATTCTCAATGAAGGTGATAGTCCCTTAAGGTGTGGGGGGTGGGGGGGATTGGTTCTTGGGGGGGGAAATCTTGCTCTTTTTGTGTGTGCCTGTATAGAAACTCTGTAGAAAAAATTAGCTGGGCATGGTGGTGCGTGCCTATAATCCCAGCTACTCAGGAGGCTGAGGCAGGAGAATTGCCTGAACCCAGGAGGCGGAGGTTGCAGTGAGCCGAGATCGCGCCATTGCACTCCAGCCTGGGCAACAAGAGCGAAACTCCGTCTCAAAAAAGAAAAAAAAATTAAAAAAAAAAAAAAAAAAAAAAAAAAGAAACTCTGTAGAGACAGACTGCGTATCTGTGGCAGTAAAATTTCATAAGGAAGATGATTAGCAAAAAAAAATGTCTGCGAAAGTTCCTGTATCAGAGGAATACAATGATGAAAAAAACAGGTTGAGAAACACTTGATTAGGCATGTTCTTGAGAAAAGGTCTGTCAAGGTTATGTTGGCCAGAACGACATAGAATCAAACGATGAATCAACAATTACTCAGCAAAACAATATGTGCAGAGTTCTATATTATCTAGTATAAGAGAACACAAGAGATATAAAATTTGGTCTCTTTTTTTTTAAGGTATGTATAGATTAGTTGGATTGAGAGAAACTAGAACAGAATAAATAGATGTTGATATGGGCATCAATATGTGAATATACAAGGAACTATTTAATGAATAAGACCTACTATTTAATAGCACATCGGGGTGACTATAGTCAATGATAACTTTCTTTTTTTTTTTTTTTTGAGACAGTCTCGCTCTGTCACCCAAGCTGGAGTGCAGTGGTGCAATCTTGGCTCACTGCAACTCTGTCTCCCAGGTTCAAATGATTCTCCCGTCTCAGCCTCCTGAGTAGCTGGGACTACAGGTGTGTACCACTACAATTGGCTGTTTTTCGTATTTTTAGTAGAGACGGGGTTTCACCATATTGGCCAAGGCTGGTCTCAAACTCCTGACTTCAAGTGATTTGACTGCCTTGACCTCAGAAAGTGCTGGGATTACAGGCATGAGCCATCATGCTGGTCAATAATACCTTAGTTGTATATTTTTTAATAACTTAAGGAATGTCACTGGATTATTTGTAACTCAAGGGATAAATGCCTGAAGGGATGGATGCCCCATTCTCTGTGATGTTCTTATTTCACATTGCATGCCTGTATCAAAACACTTCATGTACCCCAGTGAATATATATACTACTATGTAGCCACAAAAAGTTTAAAAAATAAAAACATTTAAAAATATAAAAAACTAACACATTTTAATAATATTAAACTATATGAAAATGGGTAAATAATGGTACAAACAATAAGGTCAAGGGTAGCTCAAAAGACAGAAAGATTAGGGTGGTAATCAAAGAGGGTTTCATATAGCAAATGGGATTTGAACTAGACCTTAAAAGATGGGAGGACTTAAGAGATGGGAAAGCCCCAGAGAAGACTGAGGACTCACATCAAAACAGAGTAAGGCTCTCACACACAGAAGGAAAGTAAAATCTCAAGGATTCTAGGAGTGAGGTTAGAGACCTGTGCCAAGTTTTGGCTAGTTTGAAGGCTGAACTGAAAACCTCTGTCCCAGCTCCTTTAAATTTTTTTATTATAACAATTCTAGTGCATATAAAGTGGAGCCCCATTGTGGTTCTTTTTATTTTACATTTTTATTTAGTAGAATATATGTAACATAAAATTTACCGTTTTAACTACTAAGTGTAAAGTTCAGTGGCTTTAAGTACATTCACATTTTTGTGCAACCATCACTACTATGCATCTATAGAACTTTTCCGTCATCCCATACTGAATTTTATATACTTTTAAAAAGTATATGAAATTCCCCCAACACCTATAAATCACTGTTCTACTTTCTGTCTTGATGGACTTGACTATTCCAGGTATCCATCTTAGTCCATTTTCTGTTGCTTATAACAGAATACCTGAAACTGGGTAATTTATAAAGAAAAGGAATTCATTTCTACAGTCATGGAGACTGAAAACTCCAAGGTTGAGAGGCCACATCTGTTAAGGGCCGTCTTGCTGGTGGGACTCTCTGCTATGTCCTGAGGCAGCGTAGGAACATTACATGGTAAATGGACTGAGTGTGCTAGCTCAGGTCTCTCTTCCTCTTCATATAAAGCCACCAGTCTCACTCCCATGATAACTCATTGATTCGTTAATCGATGAATGGACTAATCTCTTTATGAGGACAGAGCCCTCATGATCCAGTCACCACTTCTTAAAGACAGCACCTCTCAATAGCCACAACATTAGAGATTAAATTTCAAAATGAGCTTTGGAGGGGACAAACATTCAAACTATAGCAGTTCTTCATGTAAGTGAAATCATACAATATGTGGTCTTTTGTGTCTGGCTTATTTCACTTAGCATAATGTTTTCAAGGTTTACCCATGTTGCAACATGTATAGAAATTTTATTCCTGTTAAGGTTAAATATAATCCACTGTATCCAGTCCTTTCTTCTTGTTCTTATTTTCTTGATCATTGGAGCTAAGAGATGAAAAATACAAGCATCCTTTTGAAGGCCTTCGAGCACTAAAACCATGAGAAGGTCAGATGACCCAAGGTTGAGACATAGCCACTGAAAAGACCCCCCAAATAAGGGTAGATGTAAACACTGTCAGAAAAAATTCCCTCCAGGATAGGATAGGTAGAGAGTGGTACAGAGAGCATGCCAGACCAGCAATCTGCTTCCTGGGCCTCAGTTGGAAAGGTGTTCCCAGGAGAGCTTCAGGGTGGCAACTACTGCAGTGTCTGAGGAAGACCAAATACTGAGGGCTATAGCAAAAGGAAGGAACTGTATTCTAGTAAATAAAACCAGTGAGTGACTTGGGGTCAGGTACTATTGTTATTTTGACTGTCAGGGCTTGAGGGAAAAGAAAGAAGCATGCAGAAGGCTTGGTCTAGCTCAGGATTGCAAGATCTGCCTCCTTCAGATTCTTTCTCTCCTCCACTGCTCCTCTCCATGGTGGCCTCTCATTGTCAGAGAGATTCATGTGACATCATCATGGCAAGGATGGAGTTGGAGCTATGAATAGTCATCCAAGTCCTAGCTGCTCTCTGCTGAGGTGTGGCCAGGTGGGTCCCTGATCCTTTTGCACTCAGGTCTGCTGAGGAATGCCTGAGGAACTTGCAGGTTATTCTCTTTATTGATTCACATGCAGTGGTCTTATTTTGCCGACTCTGTTACATTATGACTATAGCCATTGCTGTAATCCTCTGTTGAGTAAGTGTCTGTCAAAACCCTCCCTACAACAGTCCCCACAACAAGACCACCAGCTCCCCGGTCAGCTGTCTTTCACATTGTCCCATGAAGCATGCAGAAATTTCTGGATGCCTGCCCATCACATGGGAACTGAGGAAGATTAACAATAGCCCTCTCCTTAACCATTCATATCATCATCTCTACCTTTGTGGACCCTCCAGGTTCAAATGAGGCTACTTTGCATGGTGGCCTCTGCATTCCAACCAGAATGACAGCAAAAGCCCCTTTCTTCTCAACCCAGCCCATATCCCTATGGCTGCAAATTTCAGCCCAGGTTGGAAAATATGACCGATGCCTCTCCTACTTGCTTCTTCCTCTATATCTCTGTCCTTCTTTTCTC